TGACCATCCTGCCATTAAACCCTTGACATCAATTTCCCCTCTTTCATCTTCTAATCACAAAAAGAATTCTCCTTTTAAATAACCTAATCAAAACAGACACATTAGATATATTGACTAAGCAAATTCTGCAGCTAATTTGCAGAGATGGGTCAAACAAACAAACATGGATTATCTTAAAGGTTGGGTTTTTTAACCAGATCTTTGCCTATCTGATTATACGAAATGTTTCTTGGTTGGATTTGGATTAACGGTTTTACCTGGGGATTTCAAGCTCTAGAAGCTTAGAAGGATATTCTTTGTAAATAAATTCTCCTCATGGGTTTTTAGTTCCGCCATTGTTGTTACACAAGTGCAAAGATACACTGACAAAAGGTACAAAATTTGAGATCAATGGAAAAGACATGCAAACACTAAACAAGAAGCTTTTGTCTCCTGGAAAACAATATGATTTTTTTCATTTCTTTTTTTTCTGTTGTAACAAATCTGGGTTTACAATTAAAATTGGGTTATAAGATTAAAAGAGGAAAATCTGAGACGAAATAAAAATGGATTTTGATGTTTTTCTTATATAGAGAGATTTCAGTGGTGGTGGTGTGACTGACTGATATCCTTAATCTAGGGTTTCCAAAGTGTGTTAACTAAGAAAATGGACAAGAATTTGTATTATGTTGGTCGAAATTATTTAATTTTTATTTACTTTTTTTTTTGGTTGCAAAAAGTAATTTTTTAGTATGTACTTTCTTAGTTATTAATATTATTACATCATTTTTAAATAAAAGAGAAATTGGGTTGCATAACAAAGATTTTAAATCAAATTAGCAAACTAACAAAATTCTTACCAACCAATCTATTGTTTTCTTAAGGAATCCCTCCCTTTTTTGTCATTTTTGTAATTATACATTTATTCTTTGTTATACACCTAACAAACCCTTTTTAAAATCCTTTTTTCGTTTTTTGGGGGGTAAAATATCTATGTAGCATTGTAAAATGGGTGTCCCAACAACAAATTTAAGTTTTAGTTCTACTTAAAAATCTATCTTCCCTCTAAGCACCTCATAAGATAAAAGTTTGATAAAGTTGTTGTTTACAACAATTTATTCCAATAAACAAGAGAAATGCTACGTGTAATTTGAGCAATAAGCTGTGACTGAAATTGTCAAAAGTTTACCTAACCGATTATGATGCAGAACCGTTTTTCCCATGGAGGAGCCAGAGATAGGATTCCTAAGAAGATAAAAAATCTTTGAAAAAAAGCAGGTTCAAATACAAAAAGTAGAAGAAGCAAGAGTGAGTAACACAGAATCACAGATACCAAACTACGAGAGTTTAAGCGGAAGTAACACAAACAGAGGATTTATTACATACACTAAACTTATTAAAACAAAAAAAGGGGATAATAACGAAACAACAAAGAATCTGAAATCTTTTTGGGTTTGGTTTTAACCTTTTGCAGCAATGTTAATCATCAAGCCTTGAAGAGAAGCTCGACGGCTTCGAAGAAGAAAGGCGCAATCTCGGGACTGGGCGTTTTCACTGCGCATTTGAGTCCTGGTTGACCTACCATTGCAGTGAGTTCGATCAAGAACGGTACATCTCTCGGAACCTTTGCTGATAGATAGATGACGTCTTGGCTCCCGTTCTTGCGCTTTGCTATGAAGAACATGTTGAATGCTGCGAGCAATTCAATAGTTGATTCAACGCTCGTGATGGTGATCCCCGGAAACTCTTTTTGGACTTCGTTCGAGTCAGGTAAGGACCTCCATGTCTGTTTCATATTAATAACTATTTTTTAAAACCCAAACCGATACAAAGAGCCTAGTCTTAAGGCTTTGGTATATAATGTTCTGTTACCTCGAGGAAGGTTCCACGTTCCATTCTACCGTCTTCACCGAAAAGAGCATGAAGTATAATCTTATCGGTGAAGTACAAAACAGGCTGCTGATTGTTTTTGACAGCAACTTGTAAGGCAGAGCTTGGAGGTCCAACAGACATGTTCTGGAACAAGACCATAGGCAGCATCGTCCTGGCAGATGTTCCGGGATGCAAAGGCGGAATCTGAGACAGTATAGGTTGGATATCAGTTTAAGAGATTCAGATCTAACTTTCAGACATAAGAGTTGATTCAGATACAGTTACCTGAAGAGGACCGGCAGCTGCAAGACCGAATGTGTTCTTGTTGAACTGAATCATGAAACCATCAAGAACCACCTGCGAGTTATTCTCAAAAAGCATACTATAGAATACTTGTCCATCCCTTCGGGTTAATTGAGCGCTTATCTGCAGACCTTGACCGTTCACAACAACAGGCAATGGAGGCCTGCAAACAAGTTCATAAGATTCAATGAGCTTCGCATACGAACCAGGCAACCGAAATAAGACTTGGTTGCCATGAACCAGTCCCACCAAAATTTCACTATTTAAGTCATAACTCACCCAGATGGAGCCGTGGGTTCGTCAACTGGGACAATTGCAGCATTATCCAATCCCATCAAGTCACCTAGCAGATCAGGCACAGGAGCTGGGACTGCCGGTGCAGGAGCTGGCTGTCTTCCTGCAGGATGGATATTACCTGTGGTGGCTGGAGGGGAAGCCGCACTATCAACCGGATTACCAGATGAGTATCCTGTTTCGCTTCCTTCTGCAAAGTCCTCGTCTTCTGTTTTCTGAACCGTGGTTTTCAAGCGGGTCACAAAAGCCTCTGGTGGCTTGTGATACACAGAGGACAAGGTTGAAATATTGGCAAGCAACTCATCAAGGAGTGATGGGTCAAGTTGGTTTGAGTCGTCAGTAATCACAGGCTTTTCAGCTAAAACAACATCCTTGGCCGCCTAATCAATGATTTCAGCAAAATACATCTCAGGATGACAGAAAGAGAAAGCTCAATTGGGTAAAAGATGTTTGTTGCTTGAGTAATAGATTCTGAATATATTCACTCTGGACTAGCTGAGTACTAGAAAGCTACAATATATCAAGGTTACACACACCTCAGGATCAGTAGATAGAAGACGCCAGTATATGTATGCACGATCTCTGAGATCAGGATTATCCGTCTCCACAGTAGCGTTATTTAAAACAATCTGAAAACATCAAACATATCAGAATAATATGCCTGCCATCACATACATGACATGAATCAATCATAAAAATAGATGTGAGCATGAGCAAGGTAGAACCTGAATCATTTCTTGAGGGCCTTCAGTTGGCTTCTTTAGAAATAATTTAACGGTAGCGGTCAGAAGCTGCAGCTGGACCTGTGCTGGTTCCTCAGGAAAACTCTCAAGGAAGCTTTCAAGAAGCTCATCAGCATTGTCGATTCTTTCAGCATACTCACCAATGATCCATATCATAGATGCCTTTCATAATGCCAATAGATACAAAATTATAAGTTCAGTGATTAAGTTTAAACTTTAACTTAAGATGATAAAATTCAACCGTACAAACCAAGAAAGTTCATTACCTTAGCTTCTGGTTCATCCAAAGTGTCTAAACTCTCACAGAGAGTGGCAATGATGGACTCATACCTGTATGTTATTTTGAATATCATGATCAAATTAACTTACAGCTTTTCAAGATGCCATTACGTCAGTGGCTAAGAAATGTCTACTTACGTGTTTGGATATCTTCTGAAGATATCTTTGATGACAATAATGGCCTCCTGAACAACATAATTTACTTTGATCTTGATCAACTCAAGCAACACACTGATGCAACGTTCAGCTGCTCTCTCTAGTTTGATAGCACATCGGCCTATCGCACGAACAGCCTTTCTAACAAAATCAACGTCAACTTCTGTAGCATACTCTTTGAACTCCAGAAGAACCTGCAGTAGCAATTGCCAAAGATCATAATGATATGCAGGACATACACAAAAATCATAACGATATCCAGGAGCAGATGGTAAAGTTCAGTGAGGATACCTGGTCTATGTTTCTGTCAGAGGCAAGTTTTATCATAATCTCCAACTTCTCCATCTTAACATAAATTGGGTCGTTATACTTGCAGAAGAAAACCTAAAAGCAAAAAGATATAGATTGCAACACAATCAATAAATACAAGGATACATCAGTTTTTATTCAGAGGATCTATAAGGCACAGGTCAAGCACCTTGATTTCATGGGCAAGGATTGTGGGTCGTTTTTGCACAATAAGATTAATGTTACGAAGTGCAACATACTGAATCTCAGGTTCTGCAGAAAGCAATGTAACTAGGGGTGGAGCCATCTTCTTGCAAAGATTTCGAATCACGTCTGTACTAGTAATAAGTTCCATTTGTTGAAGGATCATCTGCAAGGCATTTGCCAAAAGTAGAACAGAAGTGGGAACGCATTAGAAAATATGCAAAGGCATAGTTGATGTTTTACAAGCAAGTTTGACGAGCTACCAGATAGCAGTGGAGAGGGAAACAATCAGATAAAATTCGCTCACCTTAACAGCAGAAAGCACAACAGCGCAGTTTGCATGTTGCAACCTTGGCGTGACTCTCTCAACAATATTTTCAGCTTCACGGGGATCAGCTGCTTTATACCTCGATAAAGCATCTAATATAAACACCTGACCCCACCTGCGATGATCGTTGTAAGTATTATAAGTGAACCTAAGAAAAGCTAGTCCAGTTAACTCATTTTACGGATCTCTTTCCCAATGTTCAAAACATTAGGTCTAATAATTCTCAGACTGCTGCTTGACAATGACAATGACAACACCTAAACAAACTGAGGTCATACCAAATCAAGCAAGCCATTTCATAACCCATAAATATTCCACAAACCACAAATAATTAGGTCAATACTCAGTACATTCTAGATATTCAATATCAAGCAGAATGCAGTGAATGGAGATGAGGAGAGGACTTACTCAGTGCATTCATTTAGAGCGGTAAGGAGCTTTGTAAGGGTGGTACTATTGATCTCAAATATGGGGCTAGTACTATTCTCTTGAATCTCTGCAAGGGCTGCTACAGCATTGGCAACAACCATCGGATTATTATCCGATATCAGATCCTTCAATGCTTCAAGAAAACCCCTATCCTCAACCAATTCAGCATTTATGTCAAAAAGCTTAGCAACACAAATAGCCGCTGTCTTTCTGACATATGGATCATCATCCTAAAGGAAAGATTATGCAAAGGATAGTGAAAATATTGCCTAGCCAAGATGAAACAGATTCTTGAGGACAATGAAGATGTTTGATATCAAGTTCCAATGAAGAGACTAAACCTTTAGGCATTTCTGAAGAGGATCACATAGATATTCTGTGATTTTATCAACACGAATGCAGCCCATTGTCCGCACAGCTAGAGCACGGATCAGCGGATTTGGATCCTGTGAATCCTGCAGAATACAAACCAACAATTTTGTAATGATCACTTGACCAGTTCCTTTCTTTCCTTTTTTTCTTATTCCCCCAAGTTCAGAACAGAACAAAAGAATGTCACTATCCCAGATGTTTTTGTTTGGGTAGACTCAATGGAAAAACAATATGCAAGTAGCTTGAGTGTTACCTTCACAAAGGTATTTACTGCAAGAATAGCGAGATCTGGCTGGCTTTTAGCATAATTGATGAGATATAGGTAAACAAGCTTCTTCAGCTCCAGATTTTCCGTTTGCATGCAATTGACTACATCAGTGAAAAGTGATGAAACATCCTTTCCAACAGTCATTGCCGCAATAACCTTCTTAACCGCATCTTTTCTCTTATCCTAGGAAACAGAAAGTATACAAGCTTATCAACACCAAAGCCAAAAGTTTTTAAGAAAATGATTCCTCCTTAAATCCTTATCATATACAACTTCTTGAACCGTAACTTTGAGCTAGAAACTATACAGAAAATCCATGAATAAAAAATCTGAAAATGGATTAAACAAAACAGAACGGAAAATCAAACATGTCAAAAAGACTTGTGCCAGAATGCGTATCTAGTGATTCTAGCACCAAGTCGCTTAAAGACACAAAGAAGTGTCTTGGAGATTTGTTGAAGAGATCTCCCAACTCTCCCAAAACCAAAGGCTCTCAACAACCAAAATGGTCAAAACCCCTTAATTTTAACCCAGCCACTCCTAATTATACTGTTTAAGCTTAAAACTCAGTCGCAAAATCAGGTATTTCTACGAAAGATAGTAGATTTAGTTTAGTCTCTTCATTTGCAAATACAACTTGTGAAGATCAAAACAGCAGTTCACTTAATAATCTCTGATCCTTTAACGAATACGCTGATCCAGATTAAAATAGTTCTGATCCACCAACCTAAGCTAACCTAAAGTTACTACAAGATTGCACACAACCCCGCATAAGCCATTCTCAAAACCCACAAAATTCTAATCCGATTCTAGCTATATCCCAGTCAATTACAGAACATATCATTATAACATACGGAATTACGAAACCAATTTCAACTAAACAGCAACAAGATTTACCGATTGGATTCAAATCCGAAACTACACAGATCTAACCAAAAAACGAATAAGAATGACCAAACTAACAGGAAAAAAAAGGATCAACGACAGAGATCGTAAATGTAATAATGGCGGATCACAGATCCACACGTAGACTTACAAAACATACACAGAAAGACGAGAGTGATATTCAAAAGAGGAAAAAAACCTTATACTGCGAATTAAGCTCTTCCTTGAGCTCAGGGATCTCTCCCTTCTTCGTCGTAGAGAAGTACTTGGAATCGTGACCACTCATCGCTCTCTTCTTCGACCCAACGCTCTTTCTTCTCTGAGATTATGC